ACGCAAATTCTGAACACTCTGGCCCGTAGGAACCCCCTCTAATCATCTTGGAACAAGACAAAGACTTGATTTGTGAACTCCTTAGTTGCACTTTCCTTTAATTTTTCATCGAACCATACCAAAATCGATATTAAACAGGATAAATCACTCATAAAATTTTCACAAACACATAAGATTACATTACCAGAAAGTTTATTAATATCATCACACACATTCAATAATTACAGCTATCGTACATATAAAAGCCAAATCATATGACCCATAGAAGATATAGAAGGTCGTTAATTAACTACTCCCTTCTCTTCGTAACTTTCCCTGTAAATTTTCTCATTATGGATAATATCCTTTCTCTTATGAAGAATCTCTTCCTTTCAAAGATTCCTGGCCCATAAGTTGACACCAAAATCTCAAAAAGAAGCCGAGATTGCCATGACAAAAAGACAACGACCGGAATGCTGGCGACCAAAACTAGCGAGATGACTACCCACCATTTTTCCTGTAACATAATTGAAACAGTAGCACAAAAAGCTACCGACATTGTTGCAACAGAAATGAGGAGCGTGAGAATGCCGATGACCAACATGGTGGGCAATGGCTTAAGAAAATCTTCTTCAGTGTAGCGAGATGTGAGGATTCCTAAAAACGTCAGCACTGAAGTAGATGCGGCGAACAAAGAAATTGCATCTGACGTTATATATGTCAAAAATAATCTCTTATGTGAGAATATGGGGAAGCCATTTCCATTGTTACTGCCGGGAATAGAAAAAGCAGCTGCAAACACAGTAGTGATAATGAGCGAACCAACTATAATGTAAGATTGTGCTGTTTGCTTCATCCATGCTTCACCTTCTTTTAACAAGTTCATGTGATCCCTGGTAAACACTTGCCAAGGAGTTTCTCCATTGTGATTCACCCAGCCTTTACACTCTGGAACAATAGACTCAAATTCCTGCATCAATTCATAATCAATTAAGTTGCTAATTACTTTTACACAATCAAATTAATAAAGGAAATAATTATAAATTGCCATGAAATATATAAATTTTGCATGGTGGATGAAAAAATAAATATAAGCTAACTTAAATCGGTACAACGATCCTGTAGTTTGTGCAGGAAACCAGTGTTGAAACAGGTTTTAGTGTGTACTAGTCGGCATTCTAAACTTGTATGAAGGGTTGAGTATCCCTGTGCTCCCCATTAATAAAATTCATTTTTGCTGTGAAAAAAAAAAAGAAAAAAAAGAAAAGCTAACTGACTACCTTGAACCATTGCAATTCCTTCTGCATTTGAAGGGCTGCGCCTGAAAAAAGAGCAAGATAAGACTCAGGACCTAACCTTGCTGCTATGTGAAGAGCATTGTTGCCATCGTCATCTATCCCCAAAGCCAATAAATGGCCTTCTCTACGGTTAAACCTACGAAAAAGCTTCTCTTGACGACATTCGATTGCGTAAGTGGCAAAATTCTCTGTCTTTCCATCGACGGGGCATCCCAATATATCTAGATTAGTTCTTACTAAAATTTCATAAAATTCTGTTATGCCATGCTGGATAGATTGGAAAAAGGCCGGGACGACTCTACTCTCAATTACTTCTTCCGCGTTCAATCTCGATAATTCTTCAGCTGTGCTACGCAGAATATCAAGGGCACATGTATGGATCAACTTCCGTTCGTACACGTATCTAATTCCTGCATGCGTATGCCAAACTTAATATTTATTAATATATACACTAGGCAACCAAAAGGTATATAAAAATTTTTACAAACTTAAAGTTCGAATCTCAGGATGGATTGAGAAACTCCTCTTTTACTGTTGAAGAGGATTTCATGAAATTAAAACTGCCACGCTCCCAAAAAATTTTGGAGCATTGAACTAAATCCACGTATGCCCCGAGAAAGCAAACTCAATCCACGTTGTAGACGACTTAGCACTGCAATATATTAACTCCATTAATCTCATAGCTTAAAACATTGATATACAATAATTTGCTAAATATCAATAATAATTTTCAGCATACTACTTTAAATTGTTATTTACTTACTTGTTAAAAACAAATTAGACTTACATGTGTCTTGAGAAAAAAGGAGAGCAATTGATAGAGCAAGTAATTAAAGAAAAGCCCACAATTCTAAATCTGATATCTTAACTTCAAATCTTGAATTGAACGGGAAAAGATTTAGAAAAATGAGAAAATGATCTCTTATTATATAATTCATTAATTATCAGATGTACACAAAAAATAATTAAAAAAAATTAAGTTAAAACTCTATTTTGATCTTTAAATTATCATACAAACCTTCAATTTGATTTTTAAATTAAAAAAATTCTTAATTAAATCCTTACTATTTCCTATTTTAACTCTGGTTTGGTCTTTCAATTCAATTTTTATTGACGTGGGATGTTTGCTAACAGTAGATCCATGTCTTTTCATTAAATGCAATTTATAATGTGGTAAAATACATGATTCGGCAAAAGAAATTGTGTAGATAATAGCTAAACATAATAAAATAATTATATTACTCTTATCTTCAATCTCTAAATGTTTTCATTTTCTCTCTCCCTTCCCAAACCCAGATCTGGGTTCGGTAAACTCTATTTCTCTCTCCCTTTTTCCCTTTCTCTTTCATCTTCCTTTCCTTTGTGCCTTCTGCAAACCCAGCAGCCACTGGGTTCCATTTCAAACCCAGCAGCCGCTAGGTTCCATTTGCTAGTTCGCTGGGTTCCATTTGGAACCCAGCGGCTGTTGGGTTCCTGCAGGTGCTTCGAACCCAGCAGCTGCTAGGTTCCTGCAAGTGCTGGGTTCGATTTCGAACCCAACAGGTGATTGAACCCAGCAGGTGCTAGGTTTCGTTTCAAATCCAACAGTTGCTAGGTCGATGGAACCCAACGACTGCTAGGTTCGAGCAACAACTGGGTTCCATTTCGAACCCAGCAGCCATTGAGTTGATGGATCTGTTGAATTTGATTTGTTCATTGATCTGATGTCTGTTGTATTATCCTCGGATTCTTGCAGGTGTTGAGTTCGATTGGATCAAACCCAGCAAGCACTGGGTTTTGTTTCAAACCCAGCAGCCGTTGAGTAGATGAATCTGTTTATCCATTTGTTTTATGTTGTGTTATCCTCGGATTCTTGCAGTCGCAGGTATGGAACCCAACAAGCGCAGGGTTCTATATCGAACCCAGCAACCTTTGGGTCAAAAGATCTATTGAGTTCAATCTGTTGATTTGTTGTATTATCCTTAGATTTACTATTAGAAGGTGTTAGGGTTTGTAGAAGATGAAAGAGAAGGGAGAGGAAGAAGAAAGGGAAAAAGGAAAAACAAAGGAAGAAAAAAAAAAAAAGGAACAAGAAATTTTTAAAGGTTTTTCTTGTCATCCCTTTATTTTGCCACAATGTACCTCTAGGTGTCAAAATGCTTTTACATGTCATTATTTTCCCGTCAAGTAACGAGATACATAGACAAATATTTAACGAAATGATCAAATTAGAATTAAAATGATAAACAGTAATGATTAAATTAGAGATTTTTTTAATTTAAAAATTAAATTGAGGTTCATACAATAATTCAAGGACTAAAATGCAGTTTTAACCGAAAAATTAATGTTTTGCATCTTGAATTTATACAGTGATTGGGTGAGTCAACTTCAAGAAGAAATGTTTGAAGTTAGTTTACTGGATTTTGGTATCGTTAAGACCTCCGTAATGGCTATTAGTTTACTGGATTTTGGTATCCTTAACACCTCAGTAATGTAATAGCCATTCTCCTGAGTAATTAATATTTTAATCTTTTTAATTTTAGGTAACTTTTTGGAAAAAAAACCAAACCACATGAAATCGGTGCTCTTCTCCCTGTTTCTTTTTCATTTTTTCTTTGTTTTATTGTTATAAGCCTGGCAATTGTTATCATTAAGCTGAAAGGCACTTTAAAACTTGAATCAATGCATAGCTTGTGTAGTTGAAGGACTAGGCCTCTCTTCACCCCTCTCTCACAGTCATCACTCATCACACCCCTTTTTTCACTTAAGCCGTTGTAGCCTGTCTCTCGCAGTACAAATAAGGGAGAATAAATAAAATGTGAAAGTTCTTCATTCTTTGTGAATTTTCTTTTTCAGAGAATCTTTTTCCCTTTTTTGGAGTTTTTGACTGGACTTCCTCGATATTTTAATTGAATTTTTCTACAGTAGAGGAGACAATATAGACGTGGCTAATTTTTTGGTGTAAAACTAAAGCTAGCATGTGAGAATTCCAAGTCCTGAAAAATATCGAAGTGGCTGTTTATTGACTCTATAATACTATTTATGCCCTTAAAACAATTATTTTTATAATCTTTTAAATTTAAATGGGTTCTTTTTTGTTTTTTTTGAACATTAAATGGGTTCTTATTTTTTTGTTTTATATCCATTTATAAGCATTTATCGCCTCCTACCATATGCTATAAGTATAGCTTTAAACTCTGTGTAGGTCTATTTTTTCTTTACTTACATGGCACCTATCATAGATTTACTTGAGGTATTATACTCCTTTATCAATAAATCCATGATTGTTTTATAAAATTAAAATAAATAAATAAATAAACAAAACCATACCTTGTCTTTTGATGTCTTCGCTTTGTGGAATTGAAGAGAGTACAGAAATACGAACATCAGTAGAAAGTGCTGGCGCCTTTACTTCCTTACCTTCACTAGCAACGAATATACCATAATAAATCCATCGCTGAAGAAATGAAAGCCGAGTTCCACTGAGGAATAGAGAGGTTTGAGCAGATAATGTTAGAATCGGGGTCGACACCTGATTATTGTATTTGAATCTGGTGAATACCAAACGCGAATATTTGTGTAGTAGATCCAAAGCAATATCTGATCATGTATATCAGTACACATGTAAGAAAAAGCACTTTATAATTTCCACCAAAAATTATAGTAGTAGTTAATTACTGTATAAGAAAATGATAACAAATTGAACCGGACCTTTAAACTCAATGGTTCAATCTCAAACCTTAAGTGCTTAGGTGAAGTGGTCAGAGTTTCGAACTCTACCACCGTCGTGAATTCCACTAAAAAGTGACTTGATGACCGCACGCCTCATTTGAGGAAGTGGAATGTTCACCCAATTTAAAGATCGAATCCCTAGTTGCTAACAACTAATTCATACTAATTTCCTAACTATTATTCTTGTAAAAATATATATATATATATATATATAACAAGATTGAATATGTAGCTGATTAAAAAAACAAAAAAAAGAAGATTGAATATATATATATATATATATATCTTATCTATCTATGTAATGTAGCCATGTAGTGTAACTGCACCAAACCAGAAGTCCTTCTTCAGTTCGCGTTTGCACTCCGGATTGACTTGCAAAGCCCCGAGGTGGATCCTCGGGGTAGACACTCCGATGCTTAAGTTAGCAATAATCGGGGCTACCTTTAGAGCGGAGATAAAATGAGCTTAGGGTTGGTTTCAATTACCTTTTGGCGTGGCCCTTAAGGGGTATTTATATGTTCCGATGAAGAACCCACGCGGCATGCCAAGCAAAATATCCGGGATCCGATGTGTATCTCCAAGCAGTTATTTCGGGACCAGGAAATTAAGCCACGCAAGATATTCGGGATCTGATGTGTATCTCCAGACGGTTATTTCGGGACCGGGAGATTGAGATATATTTAGATGCAAGGACGTCCATCATAACTGCTGTGCAGTTGTTCGAGCGGGAAGCTCTGGATTTACTCTTCACTCCGGTTGTAAAGGAACTACTGTCGTACGTCCGAGGTTGGGCACCTCGGACCTGCTCTTA